TATCCAGGTATGGTATGTGCTTTGCACCATCAAAGTGCAAAGTGCTTGTTCAAGACTGGCAGGAACCTATGCCTGCACTTACCATCTGTGGTGATCAGCTAGAAGTAGTTGAGTACCTCGGCAGCTTGATTGCAGCTGGTGTTGGCGTTGGGGAGGAGGAGGCATGAAGAAGCTGGCTTCGGTTGATGCAGCCCGCCTTCCAGGTTGGGGCCCAAGGGATGGGGATTGTTGTTGGTTAGAGACGCTGAGAGATATGGCCTAGAATAGAAATCAGTGGTGCGAATGCTGTACGGCCTGTCGAAATCCCGTGCCCCGTAAAAAACAACAAAAAATATCAAAAGGTGTACGGTGAAACACAAAACAATTTTGTTATCCCAGTTATCTTCCATTTCCCGGGTTTAACTGTTTCACCTCCTTCTCACTCTGTTGTGTACCCCAGTCCACCTGTCCTCTTTTATTGTTATAGTTATTATTGTTGTGGCTTTGGCACCATGCTTGTCTACAAGCCGGTGGTAAATATATATGCTCTAGGCTATTATTCAGTCGAAATGGGACTTCACTGATGTGCATGTGTCCGAACGATTGTGGATGGTGTTTGATAAAGTGTTAAAATGGTTAGGTTGATGAATAATGCTTTCTATCCATCCATTTGTGTTTATTCCCCTTGATCTCAATCTGTTTTTATAAGTCGTTTTCAATGTCTTTGCGTAATCACCTTATTTGTTCCCAAACCGTAAACTATTCTATTTTCTTATTCAAGCCGACGAATTTCTTGCTACTGCTGCTGCCGTAGCATGCTCAGCATCTAACCCCGGCAGTCACTCCGCTTCCATGCCATACAATGATTCGGTGTCCACTACCCCCGGCTTTTCCTCCGACACGCACAACTCTACGAAGAAAAAAAGACGCCGCTCTCCATCCCCAACATCAGAGGTTGCGTCTGTTGTCGTTGGTAGCACCAAGAAACGGCGCCCAGGGCCATCCGGGGATCGAAGCAGTCGTCTTTCTGGAAGTCAATCAACCTCCCGCAAGATAAGAAAAGAAGTAAGCGGACACTTCCTCTGCTACCCTTCTTTGCATACGCCTATGCTTTGGTTTGGAATGAATAGGCGAGCTCTGCAATCGCGTCACAATTCATATAATCTTCCCCTCATGTTGCGATCCTAACACACATGTGAGCGTTTTATAAGGTTATTTTCGATTAACTATTCTGTATCAGTTTCTTTGTAAATAAGTAAATCATGAACATTTTCGTCTGTACTCTTAGGTAGTATTGTCCTAGAGAAAAGACCGGAGTATTCGTACGCTTCTTTCTCAACCGCTGAATGATGTGTTCTCCCTTTGAGTTAATGTCCTAGGAAAGAACGCGACAAGTCGCCCCTTTAGATGCAACGTAGCAGCGATTGCCACGTCCGAGACATCAGTTTCGATGACAAACGGGATATTGAGGCGAATAGTCACTAGGCTCGCCGTTGCTAGTTTGTGCCTGAGATTTTCGAAGCATTGTTTTACATGCGGAGTTCGAAATCCACAGCTTCAACTGGTCAGAATCTGAGGACCAAGCAGCTTGATTTCTTTCACTATGTAATGCTTTTGTTGTTGTTGAAGGTCAAACCATATTCCAGCAGCGTTCAGGAAATCCCCGAGGTTACCGTCATACTCGATTGTGTTTCTCCCACAGACAGTGATGTTGTCCACGTAAAAAAACGTGTCTCTCAAGTTTTCAGAAGAGATTATCTCATCAATAGCCCTCTGGAAACATAAAAATCTGTTGGTTACTCCGAAGGGAATACGACGAAACGGATATAAACACCCGCATGTCTCAAAAGCAATGTTTTTCTTCCCGAATAGGAATTTAATCGTATGCAGTTTTGAGGTCTACAGTGCTAAAAATGCTGTATTTAGCTATGTTGTCTATCATGTCATCGATTCTGCGAGGTGGATATGCATCCAGGCTGGCAAACTTGTTAGTTGTTTGGCTAAAGTCCATCACCATTTCCCGTTTGTGGTTATCATTAATGACCATTAGTGCTTGAGCGCGCCACGGTGATTTGGAGACTTCACTGGTACCATTAGACAGGAGTAGATTTATTTTATTGCCTATGATAGCCAGTCTTCCTTGCTGTATCACCGGGATCCTGTATAAACAGGTTCTGAAAAAGTGGCGGACACAGGCCTGAGTCAGCAGACCCTAAACGGATTCTTCTCCACCAAATTATATATGAACGCTGTTGTGAA